TGGTGCTGGACGAGGTCACGATGAGTGCGGGCCAACCTGTTGCACCTCCTCCCTCTCTTGCTCTCTGGTGGGGGCGGGGACTCTTAAGGCTCCTGTGGCAGCTTATCACTTCTTCTGCCTTCCCAAGCTGGCGATGGGTGATTTTTAAGACAGTGTGCGTGTGTTTATGCATTTATCGCTTCCTCCTGTCCCTCAGTACGTCTCGGAATCCGAGTCGTTGAGCTCCTCGTCCTTGAAGAAGCCGTCATGATGGCTGATGTTGTTGAAGCTGCAGTAGGAGCTGTGCTCGCTGCGCAGCATGGGCAGGCTGTCGAAGGTGACGCTCTTGGAGGGGCTGGTGGTGTAGTGGTTAATGGCACTGAAAGGAAGCGTGGGTACCGATGTGCAGGGGGACACAGGCATCATGGTGGCCAGGATGAGAGCTAGGCAGTCTGCCACATCTTTGTTGGGGGCACAAGCCAAGGCAGGTGTGTAACCTGAAACAATGACAGTGCACCAGTGTTGCATATTCTGGAAATCTAAATGATACAGCAATAATTACATAGTTAACAGAACAAGCAATGTGCCTGGTCAAAGGGTTGTAACTACTATTTATTTTCAGTATCAATCTGATTATTTTCTTGATTTACTGATGAACTGTTTGGCCTATAAGCTGTTAGTAAACAGAGAAAATGTCTGTTGCTGTTTCCTACAGCTCATAATGTCTAATTCAGTTGTCTCATTTGTCCAGCAGTCCAAAGTTCACTATCACAGCAAACAAAGAGAAGCTGCCAAATCTCATTTTTGAAATGCTGGAGTGTTTGGTATTTTGGCTTGGGAAAGATAAATAAACTGATTACCTATTTAAAGCCAGCTAAAACACATTATCCCGTGACAAATTATTAACGGCATGTATGTAGATATATCTAACATAAAAGCACAATCTACAACACATCCTCTTAAAGCCAGTGGGAGCTATGATTACATTCTGATCCTATTTTTTCCCCTTGATGCGTTTTGTCCAGATCAGTAATGGACATTATTCACAACACAAGGCCTAGGTTTTAACAATCAGCTGAAAGGTTTGAAGTGTGGAATTATTTAAAACTAGAAATTAAAAGCAGCACGACGGCTATTTGTAACCAATCATTTCTGACTGGTTACAACCACGTCCGTGAGGATGCATATTTTAGTGTCACTCCCCACTTTAAGCTCTAAATATATAAAAAAAAGTGATGGAATATAAACAGCCAAAGTGAAACCAGAACTTCCCGGACAAAGAAAACACCATTCAAAATCTCACTGAGATTTACGATCTGGCTAGAAACTAAAAATTCAGCTGTCAGTCGTTTTTAGTAGTATGCTGCTGAGGTTCACTACATTTGTGGACGCATTAATGATATGTTTCTTTAAAATGACCTACTATTGGCATTAAAGCAATATTCCTCTTTTTACTGGGATTTAATGAACACCATTTCGAGGTTGAAACGTCGCCAGCTGATGCCAGTCGACTGGCAGGAGAATTGAGATGAAGTCCTGAGTCAAGATATGGCCGTATATGTTACACATCTTATATTTTTTAGAATTTAAAAAGTCAAGAGGTGAGACTAATATCACGGACTGCCGAAGTCCAGAAGAGGCTAGTGAATAACAGTGGTGTATAATATGTGTATGTTGTGCTGCAAATCATCATGGGAACTGTAGTTTTTCAGATGCTAAAAAAAAAATAAATCATTAATTAACCCTGTTAAAACCACAAACGTTTCAGTTGTCAGTAGTAAGTGCTACAGTGGTTGACCAATTAAACAACAGGTTGCACAGAGTCACTGAAGCTAGTGGAACAGAGGCTGACTGGATGTGATGACATGACTTCGGTTCTCTGTAGTAAAAGAAAAATGTTACAGTGAATTTACCGTTTTCATCGACTGCGAGCACACTGGCTCCCTTTGCAAGCAGTTCCTGCACCACTACAGTCAGACCGTTTCTTGCTGCCACGTGTAGAGGCCTTAAAAGCACAAAAAAACATGGGTGTGGTAATGGGCAAGTCAACATTTTAAAGTTTATGTATCTCTATCAATAACTGAAATCCCCCACAGTCAAACAAACACAGACTACCACCGTTCACATGCAGCAAGACACACTAATGTAATACAAGTGATGCATACGTCTGTAAGGCGGTGTTAGTGGCGTTTATGAGGTTTCTGTCTGTGATCTTCTCCAATATCAACAAGGCACTGGTTTCATGTCCCTGTAGAAAACAGGCACAGGACAATGAACACTGAAAAAAACACTTGCAACAACTTACACTGTAAATGTGAAGGGAATTCTTGCAAACTTGCAGAAACATGCTGTTTGCTGCTGGAGAGTGTAAGACGAGTGTGACTGTAGGGTAGTACACACCTTACTGCAGGCCAGATGAAGTGCGGTGTTCTTCAGAGCATCCTGCAGAGTGAGGTCAGCTTTCGCACTGCTCACCAGTAGCTCTAAGAGTGGGAACGCAGGAAAAACAAGCTGAGGTGAATTCAAAACCACAGAACTGACTGCTACGTCCTCCCATGGCACCCCCCCCAGTCAGCTAGCTACAGCAGAGAAGTGCTCGTACCGACAGCGTTAGTCTGGCCATTCTCAGCAGCCATCATGAGTGGGGTCTTCCCTGCGGTGTCGACACAGTTGACCTGAGCGTTATGGCTCAGCAGCAGCTGGAGACACTCCACGTGGTCAGTGAAGGCGGCTGCATGCAGGGGCGTCCTGCACAAATAACATCAGGAAAAGGCTCGTTTTTATAAAGTCAGGCAACCCTATTCACGATATGAACTGTTAATGCACTAGACAAGTTTCCCAGTATCAGGTGTATCACAAAACTTTCCAGGCTCCAATTTCTGTTGCACATCTTTAATTAGTACCTATTTTTACTGTCTTTGGCATTGACAATGCCAGGGCCCAGAGTGTCTATCAGCATCTCAGCAGCACCTTCATTGTCACGGATTCTAAACAGAAAGAGCACAGTTATTTCATCTTTTAAAAGTGTGTCCTCACACATGCTGACTGAAACAGAGGACAGCAGAGGATCTTACACAGCACAGTGGAGGGGGCTGAAAGTATTGCCTTCAGCCTTGTGAAAAACCTCTTGTTCCAGCAAAACCTCCACACATGTATCGTGCCCTGCAGAAAAGAAAGCATTAACTATGTCAGCCTACATCTCAAGGTGCTCATAAGATCGCTCTTAAAACATTCCTTATCAAGTCTCTATGTGTAACAATTTAAACTAAAAGAAACTGCATAAAGAACAAATAAACAAATAGGAAACATGAGAAAATGTGCACGTCTGTCTTAAATCTACACTTGCTAAACATCAGCTTTACATCTCCTTAACACTCCTGACCGCTTTTCTGCTTTTTAAGAAGTCTTCAAAGCATCATCTCTGTACCATTGTAGCAGGCCCAGTGCAGTGGGGTGTAGCCTTGGTTGTCTGTTAAGGCAGGGAGTGTTTCCACTGACTGGGTAGCATGGAGCAGGCCTCCCAGTACCCCAATGTGTCCACATGCTGCTGCCAGGTGGACAGGTGTGCGCCCTTTACAGTCTTGCATCAGGAAGCTGGCGCTGTGCTGAAGCAAGGCCTCCACACATTCCTCATGGCCAGTAACTGCCTAAGGACAGAAAACAAACAAACAGAAACAGTAGATTTAATGCATGCATTTCATTAGATCTGATAAGAACAGACCAGTGTATTGAAGAAAGTTTGGATTGGTTTACATCTGACAGAGGAGACTAGTTGCCACTAGGCAGAAGTAAAATCCATATGTTTATTCACAGCATGCCTGGCAACATCTCAGACAGACAAATACAACAAGCAATAATGTCCTTACTCCTCTATGCAGGGCTGTCCTGCCCCACTTGTCTTTGGCTTCTACGCTGGCTCCTTTATTTAACAAAGAATATACACAATCTGTGTGCCCGCTCAGGACCGACAGCATCAGAGGGGTTCTAAGAGATAAATAATAATGTCAGCGATTAATTTAGAATATAAGTGAAAGAAAAATCACTAATTTTAACTTACTGTCCATTCCCATCTTGAATGTCTACTGCACTTTGAAGATCAGCATTTCCAATTAGCAAACGCAAACATTCTGAATGACCGTTGGTGGCTGTGGGGAGAGATTGATTACTCCATTAGCATTAGGGCCTGACATTTCAGGTAGACAAATTCATGAGCCACCAACTCTGCGTCCGTACCGGCAGCGTGGATCGGGGTTCGCTTCAAGGTGAAGTCTTTGACCAGGATGGAGGCTCCCTGATTGATTAGGACATCCACACACTCCACATGGCCTTTAAAGGCAGCCAGGTCTAGGGGTGTGCGTCCTTGGCCGTTTCTCACATCAAGGTCCAGCAGGGACTGCACTAGAACCTCCATAGCTTGGTGGTGACCATGGTATGCCTGAAAATATTTATGTATCATGAAGAAGGTAACATAAAGAAGCATTTAGACTGAAGATAATGCTATTGTAAGGATAACACACACTACTCACAGCTAGATGCAGGGGGCTGACGGGGGCTCTGACATCCGAGTCGTTCAGGATGTCTGTCCCTGAGGTTTCCATTAGCTTTTTTTGGGGGTGGGGGTGGGGGGGGGTACACACAAGTTAAAAGCTATAAGCAAGAAGAATCACTGCACCGTGAAGCTCAGTGCTACAGGTCTACAAGACTTATGACTTTGCTTCATACATGAAAAACTCCAAGATACAAAAAGAAAAGTACAAATTCTACTCACCACATCTAAAGGTGTTTCACCTGCGATCTGAAAAACAGAGTGGGATGAACAACAATGCATTAAACATCACTGCAATATGGCATTACACAAATATGCTGATTTATGTGGCATGTACACTGGAGTCAGGCTCTCACCAGCTCCAGACAGAGGCGATGTCCATACGCCGAGGCGTAGTGCACAGCGTTGTAGCCCTGATTGTCCCGTATCCCTGGATTTGCATCATTCCGCAGTAAATATTCCAGGCACCTGCAGACACAGTAAAGAGGCTGTAGTCAAGGAAACAACATTTTTATGTCCTGACATGTTACTCAGCATAACCGATAAGCTTTTATCCCTCAAATGCAGCCTGCCTCCCACACAGTAACTGCATCTTCTACAAGACAGGTTTTTCATAGCATTACTGACTTTCCATCTGTGTCAGAGGCAGCGGCGTAGTGGAGAGGGGTGCAGCCACGTTCGTCCAGGTCATTGACACTGGCCCCAGAGCCCACCAGAGCAAACAGGCACTGGTAGTTACAGTTGGCTGCAGCATAGTGTAGCGGGGTCCTAGAAAAGCAAACAAGGCTAAGTCGCTGTTTAAAAATGAGTGGAGCTAACATTGCATAAACTTGAGCCAAATTCACCATCAAATGCTACAAACCTGCCAAAGCTATCCTTCCTATTAAAGTCTGCCCCAGTGTTGAGGAGAAGATTGAGGCATTCCAGGTTTCTGAGGGCACAGCGAGATTTATAAGATGGCAAAGTGATAAATACACGATATTCTCATTGGTGTCATTCATAAACTACAACTTAACACTTACAATTATTAAATATATTGCTCAGCTGTCCCATACTCACCCTCCAGCAGCTGCAGCATGTAAACAGGTCCTTCCAAAGTCATCAGGAGTATCAATATCAAAGCCTGCATCAGAGTAAAGGATTATAAACAAGCTCAAGCATACACTGTGTAACGTACATCAGGTTTTACTGTATTCTTTTCATATCACTGAGAAAAAGCAAGAATGTGGAATTTAATAACAAAATCATTCAAATACAAGATCATTTTGTACTTTGAGCAGATGAGTTTGTACTACTGTGGCCAAGCACACAACACAAATAAAGTTGCTGACCTGAAGACAGGAGCTTTCGGCAGCAGTCAGAGAATCCGCTGAGAGCAGCCAGATGCAATGGAAACATACCGTGAACCCCTCGTCTGAAAAAGCCACAATCGTGTTGAGTCATACAATATTACAGGTGCTAAAATTCTGGTATAAAATTAGAAAATGACACAGTCATCTCCATCAGTTACATAACAGGCATTACACATCGTCTTTGGAAGGATTTAACCATGGAGCACTTCCACAATGTATAAAGCCGCAATAGCTGCTGAAAAGTGGCGAACAGGCTCACTCACTTAGCCGTGTCAGCTCTGTTGGTGATGAGGGTGTTGATGAGGAGCTCGTGTCCGTATCGAGCTGCAATGTGCAGTGGTGTGTTTCCATTCTTATCTTCACAGTCAATCTCAGCACCTTCAGAAAACAAAAATGAACCAAGCCCTTAGTCAGTGTTACAGTGAGAAGCAGCTCTGGTTTTACAGTCCAGCATGAGAAATACATTCACAAGAAAAAGTAATGGCACTGGTTGCAATTTCCTGTGCTTTTCACTTTAGCATAAAGTGGCCATGAAATGTGATCTGATCTTTACTATTGTCAAAAATATTAACAAACACAATATTTGTAAGCTGATAAAACACAAACAGGCAGGATCTTTCATGTTTAGGAAGAACACACAGCACTAAAAAGAGAACTGTGTATCAACATGAAAACATCATCCCAACAGTGAAGTACGGTGGAGGGAGCATCATGATTTGGGGCTGCTTTGCTGCCTCTGGACCTGGACCACTTGCCATTGTGGAGGGGAAAATCAGTTCCCAGGTTTGTCAAAGGATCCTACAGGATAATGTCAGGGGGGCTGTCTGCAAGGTGAAACTCAGAACAAGCTGGGTGATGCAGCAGGACAATGACCTTAAACATCAAAGTAATCGACTACAGAATAGCTTCAGAGACACAAAATCCACCTTTTGGAGTGGCCACGTCAGAGCCCAGACCTCAACCCAGTAGACATGCTGTGAAATGACTTCAAGAGAGCCGTTCACACCAGACATCCTAAGAATATGGCTGAGCTGAAGCAGTTCACTGAGGAAGAACGGTCCAAAATTCTTCCTGAATGTTGTGCAGGTCTAATCCACAACTACAGGAAGCGCTTGCTTGAGGTTATTGCTGCCAAAGGTGGTTCAACCAGTTACTAAAACACCGTTGCTAGTACGTTTTCCACCATAACTTTGTAGGTTTAATGGGTGTGTTCAAGAAAGACATGAAAGATCATGACTGTGTTTTATCAGCTTAGAAATATGTTTGATGTTTGTTGATATATTTGTGACTTTGGTGAAGATTAGATCACATTTCATGGCCATTTTACGCAGAAAACCAGGAAATTGCAAACAGAGCCATTACTTGTTCTTGTAAAGTCAATGAAGCTGAAGTTTTAGATGAGCTCACCATTCTCAATGATTGCTTGAGACCTGGAAAACCTCCCATGGATGGCTGTCATGTGGAGAGGAGTCTTACCATCTTTACTCTGGAGTGAAACAAAAACATGGTGGCATCACAGCATAGGTCATTTAGAATAGCTGAGTGAAAAGACTGCATTTCTGCTATCAACTGCTGAAAAAATAAACGCTTGGATTTACACACAAGCAACACGCAACTGTTTAAACACTTTTTCTTAACCACAAATATTCAGTTACCAGGTAACATCTTTCCCAATGATCACAATGTGCAATGTTTTTCCAATTAACCTATGTTAAAAATGGCAAGAGGAAACATCACGGTTTTTACTCACCCTGATGTTGACGTCAGCCCCATTGCACACTAGGAGCTCCAGACAGAGCGCCCCGTGGCGTGAGGCGGCTGTAAAATGGAGAGGTGCGAACCCCTTCTCGTTCACCTGGTTGACGTTAGTGCCGCACTCTATCAACTCATTCACCACTACGTCCTGCCCGTTGTAGCAGGCCACGTGGAGGGGGGTGTTGCCATATGCATTGGGCTCAAACATCTAGACAGGACAGTAAATAGTAAGTATTGACATGACTGTTTCCATCGAGACAAACTGGTACTAATACAGGATATGTTATCCTTCCAGCACCCAATATAGACATAGGTTGAATTGTTATCCAAAACATAACTCTCCTGATCAGATTATAAAATCTACCAGTCTATACAGTGTAATGACAGAATGCTTGTGGGTGGAACTTACATCCACCCCCAAGTCCAGAAGGTATTTGACAACACTGATCATTCCACTGGAGGCTGCCGCATGAAGGGGGGTGTAAGATTTCTTATCTTTGCAGGCCACCTCAGCTCCATGAGATGCCAGCAGCTTCACCACTTCTATGTGTCCTGAAGACAAAAGACAATGATTGAATTACATGCTCCCAGAACATCATATATCTCATTGGTCATATTATTGTACAGAATGGATCTTTACAATCCAATCATCAACATAATAAAGTCCAGATTTCTAATACAAATGTATTGAAACAAATTGTACATGTATAATTTGCTGAATAAAATCATACCCCAATATGTAACTGTCACATTTCTTCTGTGCAAAAACTTATGCACAACCTGTTCTTCTAAAAGGCCTAAGACTAATTAAAATATGTATTTTTATTTATGTATTTCAATTTTAAGATGAGACGTGTTAATTTTCATTTTAAGGCTTTGGATCTTTTATTCACCACAAACTGAGAGGAAATCCTAAAGTTGCGTATGAAATTAATCATGAGATGTAAGAATCCACGCTGCTGATTCATTACCCATGTAGGCTGCCCAGTGGATTGCACGGCGGTCCTTCTTGTCAAAGGCATTAATGTTTGCTCCTCTGGAGAGCAGGAGCCTGACCATCTAACAACAGCAACAGAGGAAACAAAGAGCAATCAGGAAAGCTGGCGAAGTGGTAACCTGACAGCAGCTTGTATAACTACTGTGTGTACATGGTGCTCTGTGCTTTGATACTAGGACTAAGGGACTGACCCTCTGGTCTACACCACATATTTGCATACCACTGCTTTTATTTTAGTCTGATCCTCCATGAGCCTGTAATTCTGTTTTATGTAAATAACTAACACATATGGGCTGTGAAATAGTTTGACCTGTTGTATACACTGAATACAGCCAGCAAAACAAGACATTAAGCATGAAACAGTCAATTCCCACAGTGTATCGTTGTTGAAGTATATGCAACAGGTTATATCATTAAGATAATCAGAGGTTACAACTGTGAGTCCCCACCTCAGTATCTGCTTTACTGCAATACTGCAACAAAACTAAAAGGTTCTCTGAACATCTTTTATGCACTCGATTGGTATAAGCATTTTCCACCTGTATGACAACCGCTTTGCATGCAAGTGTATGATTACAGTATATTATTTGCAAGCAAGTACATGAGCGGGCAAATGCTGCCTGTGCATAACCCTCAGTGTCAGTCTGCAGCCATGTGGAAGAAAAGATTATCTGAAAAAACAAGCTACTATAACTTCACCGCTTTGCCCTGATGTTTGGATTTGTGCAACTGACTCCCAGATAAATATACTATATACACTAGTCTAGGACACCAAGCTCTGTTGAAAACGGACTGGAAAACGTGAAAGACTAGGCCAAAGCATATGGCAACATTATTAATCTGCTGGTAAAATAACCTTGACAAAGATGAACACAGAGAAATAACCAATGCTAAACAAAAGATGATCTGAAGATAAGCTGGGGGTATGACAATTAAACTGTGGTTGGCATAGTCGCTAACAGCAGGTCGTCAGTCGAGCTATATGGTTATGTCAGTTGTTTCATCTCGCATTTCCTAAATGGGCAAAAAAATGCAGCCATTGTTCAACTGCAAAGGGTAGAAGGTCATTGTGTTTACACATTTATGAGTCAAACAGAAACACTTCCTCTTACTAAGAGCTGGGGAAACAGAGCGGCAGTAGTGAGTCCTAAAACCCAGAACTCAGTTTGTACTTTTGCACTTCCAGTTCCCTTGCTCTGAAGTCTATGGGTTTACTGAATGGGTCTTTGGTTAGGCACCTGAAATAAGGTCTGTCGTTAACACAAGGCCAAAACATTTTCATTTTTTGTTCCTCAACAAAGTATATCAGTAAATTACCCCCTCGTGATTTCTAATACTTTTACGTGTCGTTACCAAGGGAGTTGCTAACAAGTAGCTAAATGAGATTACAGAGGTCAGGGACATTAAACGTCATGACTGAACCTCTACAGCTTCATTATGCTTAAACTCGTGCACTTGCAAGCTATTCTAACTAACTGACACAGCCATGATCACTAGCTAGATGAGGTCACATGAGAGAATTTTGTAGAGCTCATCTCTGTTATCCTTGGAGGATAAATAGTGATAAACAGACAAGACAAATAAAAACAACAATACCAGACACAGACTATCATTTCAAAGTGTCATTAAGAAGCAGCAGGAACAAATGATCTTCTGAACCTGTTTGTTCAGCATTGTAGCAGTTTGTGTCTGTGCCCTGATGATAACAACATAAATTCACACCACAGGGGACGGCTCAGATCAGCCAAGACTGATCGGGCTTTCTTCAGAGACCTGACTGTATACAGGTTATGAAGGCCATTTAAGGATGAGCCAGCAACTTTGCTGCAAACCTTCACAGTACCCTGTAAGAGGTACACGGGCCAAACCAAATTACAAGCTGGAGGTTGTGGTGGTGACATTGAAGTCACGGGACATGGTACAGTTCCTTTATAGCCTAACAATAGCTTTTTACTTCTGGCAATCGTATTCAGATTTCAAAAATCATAAAAGTAGTGATGATTTGTGAAGATTATCTTGCTGAACAGAACATGTAAGTGTCATAAACTGCTGTTTGTCACAGAGCTTATTTTCTGCAGTAATCCAAAAGCCTACGGAAAAATCCCATTGGCTGTTTAATCGAGGAAACCAGGGTGATGCAAACTTCAGGTTGGCCTACAAAAATACGTCAGCCCTACGGCACTGTAAACATCCAGTATGAATGTTTCACCTCTTGGTGCGTATGGTACTACTCTCTTGAGAACAGTCAATATGAGCAGTACTGGAGTGGTTCGAGTCTTAAGCAGGACAAACTGTATAGCCACACAGTCAGCACCAGCCCTTTTAGTTAGTACATGTTCGGTTTCTTAAGGTAATTGTAATTCAAATCTTCTGCCATTTTTATCCATTAAGGTACAACTCAATCAATACTAAAGACATTATAGCAGCTCTGTGAGTGCAGCTCACAGATGAATCAAGCAATGGCCTTAAGACTCAGTATTACCTCCAGATGCCCGCTGAACGCTGCATGGTGCAGCGCAGTTCGGCCTGCTCTATCTGACACATTTACATTGCTGAGCAGGGGGACGAGGGCTTCGGCGCAGCGGACGGCCTTGTTAGCTGCGGCTATGTGAAGTGGGGTCTGCCAGTTTTTGTCTCGGGCGTTAACATCTGCAGAGTGTTTCAGCAAAACTTGGACAGCCTCCTGCAAGTCATCACATGAAGTTCAATAGTGTTTAACAAAAAAATAGTACACATTATACAAGGAAAAAATAAAAATCAGAGAAGGGTTCCCAAACCTCACTGCAGGAGGCCACAGCCCGGTGCAGAGGAGTGAGCCACTTGTTATCTTTGGCATTTACTCTGGCACCTACAAATCAGTGGGTACAGGCTGTTACACTGTTTAAGGTCATACAGTTCCATAACATCTAGTGTAACATTTCAACAAAATGGCTCAAGCCTAAGAAAAGAGCAGGGAGCAAAGCAAAGAGTGCATGTAGAACTATTTTACAATATTGAATGCAGATGCAGCATCTGGCCACATAAGCATAAAAATATTCTGAGTGAGAGCACAACGGCATATTTCAAATGTGACAGGTTAACACTGGTGATCATTCACCACGCCCTTCAGAACTCTGAAATAAAAACCAGGACACCAGCACCTCTGTGTTAATACATGTTAAATGCCTAACATTTAAACATGCTAAAATTGTGACACCAATTACATCGATTCTGTTTATTCACAACTGAAAAGGAAAAAAAAAAACAAGTATCTTTTTTCTATCCTCTTTTTAAAAACATACCTGAAAGAATCAGCAACTCTATAATTTCTGCGTCTCCGAGATAGGCAGCGGCATGCAATGGCGTTCGCTTCTCGTTGTCCTGTAAGAAGTGAGCAGATAGATACTACTGTTATTAAAAAGAAACAAAACAGCCTGCACTTACATGTTAACCTTATATTCTTTCTCTGCCTTATACAGGTAAATTAGGTCCTAATGTATAGTGACTTTAAAACCCACACGTTGCTATTTTATGACAGAAAACAGGGATTAAGCACACTTTCAGTAATTTGAAGAGCTTTCAGATGAAAAACATCCAAGTGCAAACCAGCCTTATTTTGAAACAAACACCCCCACCAAAGCTGTACTGCTGAGGAATGAAATTAAATAAGCAGAGCCAAAGGGAACTGTAAAAACCAAATATGTGCCATTTTGTATTCAAAGACTATTCACTGAAAGCTGTACGAGGTCTTTCAAGGACAATTACACATCAAGGGGTTTAAATTCAGTATAGCTTGAGCATTTTTAAAATAACAATGATACGAGGATGCAGAATTAGTGAGGGTGTGTATGGATTACCTGTGCATTCACATCCTCTTTTTTGAATATGAGGGAGCGAACTTCATCGGGATCCACATTGAAAATAGCTTTCAGCAAAGCAGGCTGTAAAAGAAAAGAGACAGTGTCACACTTGAAATGCCAGAATTCCAGGTCAACATGCGAGAAAAATTAAGTTCAGACCTGGGAGACCTCAGACCTTACAGGGATGTCAGGGTCCTCACCATCAAGTATCACAATACACACACGAATCATTTGCTCAGAAATTATGCAATCATGTTTGGGCAGCTAAAAGTCCCTCAGTATTCTTGATGAATTTCAGCAAAAATGATGACCCCACAAAGCAGCGAATGATGGAGAAAGCCCGTCAGGAGTGACACTGACAAATGCCGAGCAGCCACTTTCTAACTCCATTCAGTGCTTACAGTCTGTTGACAGGCCAGAGAACCAGATCCACAACATGCCACAGACAAACATCACAACCTTTAAACAAACACAAGTCCAGCCATGTGCTCCGAATCACGGATGTGATCTCCATCTTCACACTTCCTCTTGACAGATGGCAAAAAAAAACAAACAAGGTTTCCAAAGCAAAACTGATGTAAAGGAGAACGCTGCTGAGATCTTCTTGATGTCGGACTCTTAAGAATTGTGCTGCTGCCTTTGCTTCATACAAAGTAGCCTGAACCTTCCTAAGAGAAAGTGATACTATGTAATTACACAACTTAGGCTATGCTATATTTAAGCAAAATATTGTGTGCATATAAATAATGATTCACATGAAGGATACAAATGACATCTCATGTCAGTTAAAACGTGTTCCCTTGATTCCTCTCTCCTTGCATCTTACGAGGGTGGGACTCAGATGTAAGAAAAAAGTTGCAGGGCAGGAAAACATGGACGCAGTTAGTGGAAGTGGGATTCACCAAATGCCCCTCAACAGTCACACATTGTAATGAAGCTGCGAGAAAGAGCTAATGGACCTTCACGTTGGCCAGCTCAACACTGGTGTGCTGGTCCACATAACATCAGCAGTTTTTGATCAGGCTGTTTTCCACAGCCTGTTGGGAGGAGGCTGGCATGGATGGGGAGAACAGTGAGGGTAGGGGATCCCTTCCAGATGCTGCAACTGCTTGCCCATCAAACGCCCAGATGGAACATTCCTGGCTTCCATAAAAACTTAACTCTTTCCTGATTTTAGTCAAGTTTAAAAAGCAAACTAACTAACTAACTAACACAATCTGTCTGAGAAGTTGTTTCCACAAGCTGAAGCTGTGAAATTTGGTAATATTGAAATGTTGTGTGTCAGGTGAGACATTATCTAGCACTTCTGACACATGTGAGTAATCATAACCTTTGAATGAGCAACGTGCACCCATGTGTGTCCAAAACAAAATGTAAGATGAAGAAGCAAGACATTACTGTTGCATAAAATACCAAGAGTCAGCAGGTTTTACAATCACATACTATAATGTTTGGCTGGAATGAAAACCTGTTTATCTGCCTTCAGCGCATCTTTGCTGGAAAACACTGAAGAAGTTGATCTTTAATTTGAACAGTCCGCTCCTCTGCGTGCAGTCATTTCCATCAGCTGGATTTCTTTCTGCGTACGGTCAAAATGATGAAGCAGGCAGAGCACATTTGACCTCATCCCTCATTTATTCCACCAGGCTGCCCAGCTAGCTGATCATCTAATGTGCAGCCATGTCGATGACAGACCTTCAAGTACAAAAGCCATCTAGTTTATAGGGCACAGTTTAAGCCACACACTTTACAAATGATAACAAACAGAATGAACTACGTTTGGTTCCGACTTGTGATTCTGAACTGCTTCCCAATATGTATCAATGGCTCATAACCACACTGTTATTCAGAGCCATTCACATGGCACTCTAGGCTTTGTGGCAGTCGAGAGTGATGCCAAACACTTTCGCTTTCAGCTGACATAAATTCATTGTACTATATATATTCATCTCTCTGTTGCATTAGGATTAAACAATCCCAAACACTGTAAGCCCTACTGTTTCTTTAAAAAATAAAACTATATTGTTAACACTTTGTGGTGGAAAATAATCCTGCAGTTTCAACAGCCGATCCAGGTATATATGACAACATGGGTAGGTTTATCTCCTCTGATGTATGTTGAAACCAGCAGGACTAGATAAACCTCACACATATTTAAGCCATGTGATGCATCTCAGATGTTGGAATGATGTTCAGTAGGTATTTAGAATAAACAAGATAAAGATCACCATTGAGGAAGGGTTAAGCTTAGTTCATTTTTATAAACTTAAGACAATCCACTCATTCAGTTATTATAATGCCCATGGAAACACTACAAGTCAAATGTTTTTACACACTCTGCCACTGAATTCAGTTGGATAGTGTGTACAAATGTTTTGCCTGGTAGTCTATCGGCAGGGTGCAATAGGGGTTGTTAGGAATAAATTCAGAACAAAAAGCTTGTGCTTCTTGCGCTGTTTCATTTTGACAAGTTCTGAGTATCCCGCACAGTCAAATCTGCATTTCGTTGTTTTCCGTTCTCCAGTCCTGCATGACCGGTGTAGGAGATTTTATATGCTTCTCTAACTGCACGACTATGCACCTTCTCTCCTCGCACAAGCCAGCCTTGTTAATACCATCACCATAGAGACAGCTCTTTGGCAACTCCACTGGCTCACAGAAGCCCAGGCACACGATCATCGTTCGAGCACACACACAGTGAAAGACACATGCATATACATATGTTACAAGAATAGCAAGCATGTGCACAACACAGTCCATGAATGATAACACAAAGCTATTCTTGTTTTCACAAAACGGTGGCAAGTGTTTAATATAGTTTGAGGACACATCTTGGTCCTGTCACCTGTTTACACACCTCATAAATATATTATGACCATTTCACAGCAGTTTATGTGCATGTAACTATAACCGAGCTACCATTCATAAAGTAGAAATAAATATCAGTTACTTCCTAAACAGGTAACAGTTTAAGAGGAAAACATCAAAGGCTTGTGACAAAGGATATATATTACCTATAACACAATTATAACCGCGCTTATTAAAAAAAATAAATAAATAACATCAAGACAATCACTAAGATGAACAGGTCACAATTCTTCTGACAGATCCCCACTTCCCTAACAAACTGGTGGCATTCATATGAAACTGAACTTTAGTTTGGTGAAGAGTTACATACAAAGTACGTCCTTATTTATGTGTTCACGATGTTTGAGTTATGCAATTTTACAGGTATCACAAAACCTAAAATAGAGGAGGTAGCTAACATACATAGTATGCCAAAAATGTCTAGGTCTAAGTAACGTTAAACTCACACCAACAGATCGGTTGTTAGGGTAATCATCTCATGCTACATTACATTTAGAAGACATAAGTAAATCACAGACTATCTTGGAAGCGACTACGCAAGTCAAGTTTCGTATTTATTTGTCTCAATATGCTGTCTAGTCACTCCCCATCTGAGTAGCTAATAGCATTTCGCACAGGCTTTAGCTAATTGCTGGATATAAACACAGCATCGTTAGCTAGTTACAACTCAACAACCGCCTGAGCATGTGTCTCGGTGTAAAAGTCATGCCTTATTATAGCCAAAAACATGACTCTAGTTATATGTGATTTGCCCAAACAGTACTGTAGTTAGGTTTGAGTTCACAGATGGCTCTGTACGATCAACCTTCACGCGAAATGCTTTAGGGAATGCTTCCGTTTTAGAAAATAGCTGGAGACACGGATTACATTGCGCTGGCGAATGTTGAAATCAGGGTAGGTTAGCTAACGCTAGCTAACGCTGGACAGTTAACATGAGCTTAAACTTGGATCATATTTTGACACAAAGGTGACTCACCTGGTCTCGAATTTTGAGAACCACCATATTTCTGGGATTTTAACTCTTTTCATGCAGATTCATAAAGAGTTACTTTTCTCCTTCCGAATAAGCAGTGTTTGATCCCAGTTGCTCTCCCACTGTTCTGCTCGAGGCCTAGCGCGACGCTAGCTTAGCTCCCGTGCTAGCTGCCTAACCCAATGGCATGAAAGCAGAGGAGTAGCGCAAACTCAACAACATTGCCGCCACCATTCTTCACCTCCCAGAGAGATGTAATTCAATAGGTCAAACGTATTGTACGTGCTAGTATGAGAGTTAGTGGTTGGTTGTTACTAACAGCGCTCTGTCTGTGACAGGCGCAATGTGCTGAATATTGCATGGCTCTTTCTGCGAACATATCACAATAAATAAATATAGATGAATAATTCTAACTATTTATTCGGCATGGAATTAATTCACATCACAATGCAACCCTACTGCACTCTTTTGAACAAAAGTATCCAGCTATGTTGCTCCGTTTAATCGTATTTCCAGTAACAGTTGCTTGTTATTCTATTTACACAGTATGACTCATCTTGAAGTTGCACCAAAAGCGAGAACAACGGATGCCAACACACAACAATAGCTTCTACAGTATATCCTCTTTCCCCATTATTATATCATATTAAAATAGAACTAATGGAGCAAGTAATTTTATGTGCTACACAAGCTGTTTTGACAAAAGTGACCACTCAGGCCTGCTCTTAAACATACTTCTGTCTGCTGACTAATAATCTCTTGTAAAATAAGCATAGTGCAGTTTAATATGGAACTGAAAGACCATTTAAGAGAAAAGCCAGTTCTGAAAAACTTTTGCTTAGGTTCTGTTACTCACAGGTTGGTCGGTGTGTTTCAGGGCCTATGACCTCACATCAAAATGCGGTGAAACATCGCCCTCTAGTGACTCACCCTTAAACTACAAGCAGGCTTTGAAAGTAGCTGATATGCGTCAAATTAGAGAGACACAAGAAATACATATACAGCATCTAAACTCCCGTGAATTTAAAGTCCAAGCGTCATTATCTGACTTATTTTTTATTTGGCCATTTAAAAAAAATTTAATTAAAGTAAGTTTCAGAGCATTACTGATTCGTGGGTCTTATGCAACAATGCTAAAATATCTATAATTGGTTTTAACTTAGAACTAAAATATGTAGCTACTTTAAGTTTTTGTAGCTTCAGACAAAATAAAAAAAAACTCTTTTCCTCTTCAAAAAAAAATTGTATAAAAGTAGTCCATGCAACTATAATCCTCTAAATAAAAGAGTAAGTTCTTGAATGTTCAAAACACTCATTCAAAGTTACTGTCACAGCAGCTGTTGATACAGGACAATAATTTCCTCTGTACAAAGAGAAGACTGGCGGGGATGACATTATGGAAGAGCACCAAAAGCCCCAGACACAAAGCGGTCTGTTCATGGTGCCCTGACCCATTGGTTCTGTCACAGACACCCAGTACATTCAAACGTTGACAGAGTAGGAATTCAAGAATGGAATGGCTTCTGCCATATACCGGTATTATCAGTGAATAAAATGTTATATTCTATATGTAGTATGTCATACTAGACAGATGTGTATGTATTAAAGCAATTTCACTGTAGCTTAATGATGAAATGTATTTGTGAATGCTATGGCATTAAAACTAAAAGCACTGATAATGGAGCAGATTGTGCAGTAGATGTTCTGAAAGCAGTTATTCAGTTTTGTAATTGATTAGACGTCTTTACTCCACTTTCTACATAAACATGCTAGCAGTAAGCACCTACTGTAACTCATTCACTCTCCTGGTAGCTAGTTATCTCAAGCTGCCAGGCACAGTGCAGTACTAGTTACCCTCTGTGATTACTATCCACCAAAGGGTGTTTGTTCCATTGCAAAAAACAAACAAGCAAAAAAAATAAAAAATATCTGCATAATAATACTCTGAGAGTGAGGGAGGTAGCAGGCGTCTTTGTGAAAGAATGTGGGTTATGCACACCAGGCAACTTTCCAGGGTAGTCTCACATTTCAAGGCACTGGAAACAAAAAAGGGGAGAGGGAAAAGGTTGTGACTGTGCTGATGATTTCTGGGTGTAGGTTTGCTGCCTTTGCTGAGGGCAATCCTCTTGGATCTGTCCCTAAGACCCCTGAAGGTCACAGTAACCCCAACAGAAATACTTTCTCACTGGGCAAGAGTGGGGTTCCCACAAATTAAAACAAGAGGAGAAGCTACGGACAAACGAGTAAATACCTAAATGATGAAAACAGATGCTTACACACATACCTACGTAGACCCCAGTTTCCACCCCTGTTTAAAGCTGAGCTTCATGCTGACCCTGGGTTTACACCATTCATGTTTACTAGAGCCGCTGTGTATTTGTGTGTGTGTAAGAGAGCACAAGAGAGACAGAGAGAAAGTAACAGAATAAAATGCACTAACTTCATTTTGCTGGAGCTTTAAGAAACCTTTATTTTCTTTATTCAAAGACAAAGATCCAATGTACCACTGTGGATTTTTGAGAACTCAATAATGCAGTGAAGCTTCTAAAAATAATTTTAAAGTGCCAGTCGGAGAACCAAATAAAAAAATAAGAACCAAGAGCCAATACATGAAAATGTCACATACAAAGTCAAGCTTTTACACACAGCCATTATTGGGATTGAAAGTAATAGCTTACTTTTATTCAAACTGGTCAGAAATATATCTTGTGAAATTGTGAAAATTTGCATTTGCACAACCACAGTGACATGCATACAGGATCATATGCACTGATGTTTGGTTATGGCGCTGTCTGTCTGTCAGGATGAGGGATAGCAAACAGCTGGACAGTCGGGTCCTGGGATGAAAATGGTGTCACCCCCTGGCTCAGTCCCAGCTGCGTTAGGACAGTGGCTGGATGGAAGTCAGATTTTCACTTCAACAACCACAAACATGTCCATTCAAATTCTCAGTCATCCAGGTCATAGTAAGCTGAAAACAGTAGGAAAAAAATCAACTGGACTTGGTTTTAGGTAGAAGATGTTCCAAGAGGTGAAACATCTTTTGCCTAAAACCATTTAATAAGGCTTAAATGGGAGCAAGATGAGGCTTAAAGAAGTATTCATCTCTATGGTAAAGAAGACCAAAGTGGACTTGTCTAAACATCCATACACACTGGATAATTTCATGAACATTTGCATGGAAAGCAGGTTTGCTGAGATGAGAGAGGCACTTTGTTGTTGTCTTACAGGGAAGACATTTGTCCACTGGCCCAAACATGAAACTAAGGCGAGCTACTGAAGAATGCTTTGAAGTGACAAATAAAAATGTGAGACTAATGACAGCTGGAGATTTATGACGATGACAAATCTGCATATAATCTCTGCTTATCATCCGGTCAGTCAGGCCTTGCTCCTGGATGAGATAAAAGCATCTCTCTCTCTTTTTTTTTAACTAAAATTCCCACCATTGGGTTCTTGTGTAATCAGGAGAGTGGGAAAGTGCTCACATATTAGCTTCATAGCTTACTTCTTTTTTTTTTGAAGTTAGGACAGAGTGTTTCTTCCTTTTTTGATACCTGAGGTTATAAACTCTCTCTGTCTGAGTATATTAAACAACCAGGCATTTGAGGTTAAATTTACTGGTCAATCCACAATCCACAGATTGTTGTTGCACAGCAGCAAATCATGCAACATGGCCAAACGTCCAGTCAGACCCCCGTCAAGCTGCAGGGGATGACAATGATAGCATGACCAGTAGATGGCACTATTTCCATTTCAGTCATCTTTTTGTTTCCTTCTGGATGCTGGATGTAGGTGGTGCATCACTGTAAAGTGTAGTCTGTAAATGCAGCTGTTATAGCATTCATGTTGGGTAGTTTTATGTTATGCAATAACAAGCAAATAATGGCCCCTATATAAGTAATTATCTGCCTGAGTGGCCTATAACTAATAGGATATCTGATGCATCCATCTATTATATTTTTGGGCTATATTTGAGCAAGAACATAGGCTAGCACTATAACATCTTACTTTTTTTTTTTAAGTAAAATGCCAGTAAAGGTTATCGCCACATTAGCCTGGTTCATTTGTTTTTCTCAAGGGGAGATGATGTGAGGAACTAGTGCACCTGTTGAGGGCAGACAGTGGCTGAAGCTCGTCTCTCCACCACAGAGCTGGAGTTGGCTTCACTACCTTGGCTAGGAGGATTTTACATCGCCCTGTCTTTCAACTGAGACTATTTATAGCTCAGTCGTCATATCGCCACAGACTGTGGTCTAAACACAGCAGCACATTCGTCAAACCCTCAAACCTGCCCTCAAGGTAGACAATTAATGTTTCAGTTTGACCCTTACTATGTCTAGCCTACGTAGGCTATTTGAACAAAACAAAAGGCAACCTATATGTCAGAATATCCTACTAACGTTAGTATTTGGTTAAAATTTTATTTTAAGCAACATAGTTGCAAAATTGCTCAAAAAACCCTGGCAATTCTATCTTAGTTTATTAATATTTGACTTATAAACCTAGTTGTGCCCTAATTGTTTAAGGATGTTTTTCTTCTATTCAGCTGCCTTTATGTTCTTGTATAGTAGGCTGTTAGAAACCAAAAAAGTTTCTTATGCTAACACCTATAGTAAGATTAACTTTTTAGGTAAGCAGGTCATAGGTGGTCGTTTTGTGACCAATTTTTGTTGTGAGCCCGCCCGTATAAGTGGACCAAAACTATATTATACCAAACTTTGACTTTTTAGCCACACAACCAACTGAAAAAGCTTTTGGCCTATCATTATTATTATTGCTAAAGTAACGTTGCCGACAGATTGCCCTTGCAGACCATTAGGTCCAAGAAGTGGGGTGTATTAATTGACTTGCTTACGAATGTATGATCTCACCAAACTTGAAGTGTGAAAGTCCACATTTAAAAACTGACCAGCTGCATCGCTCCATGTCACAGACATGAGTTGACTTGACTAATTATTTAATAAGACTGTTAAATAAGAAACCGGATAGGATATAACATGTTAACAACCACAAATCTATTCATTATATTGCCATAAATAGCCTACTTGTAAAAAAACATCTCAGCACACTAATACCCTCTATTTACATAATTCCCAGAGCTACAGTCACCAGTGGAAAACTATCTAGATCATTTATTTAAGAAAATACCCTTTAGCATACTGAAAATAGTCCATTACAAGTAAAAATCATGTATTAAATGAGATAAAAGGTCAAAAGTAGCCTATTAAATACCAAAATGTATGCAGAATGGCTCATGGCAGTTTTAGTTTACTC